GGGAGGAGGCGCCCACGGGACAGGCCCTCGGCGGGAAGGGGAAGCCCCGCAGCCCCGCCGAGCCGACCGGGCCGAGGTCCTTGAGCCAGCCACCGGTTCCCTGCGAGCCCGAAGGCTGAGGAAAAAGGGCGCTCCACCCCCGCCCCCTCAAATTCCCAGATGAAACACAGACATGTACTTTTTTTACAAAATGTATTTATCTTCCTTGGAACTGAAAAATAAATCTATGTACAAAACAGAGATCAGGTTCCCCTCACCCACTCGCAAACCCCTGCAGATTTCCTCCGGGGTCCCCTGAGAGGGGCGGGACCTAGGGAAGGTTCCCAGAGGGTCAGGAGAGAGGTCTGCTCTGATCTGGAGCCAGTTGGTCAGGAAGGAGGCGGAGCTCAGGATTCACACAGGCTGGGTAAGTTACATATCCGGGACTCGTGGGATAGAGAGGGGAGGAAGCTAGGGTTCCAAATTCTGGAAGCCCCCCCTTTTAAATTCTTTGGGGTAGGGGGTTTAGATTCCCAAGGGAGGAAATGTTCTCCAGGCTGGAGGCGGGACCTGCGCATCTAGAGTTTAGGGTGAAACTTCAGCCCCACGGGCTGAGAGCTACCCAGAGCAACACTGGTTAGAACCTGGGTTCGGAGGTGGGGTCTGACTTTCCTGTGATTGGACATTTATGGGGCCCAGGTGAGGTTTCAATTGGCCAGCTGGGATGCTGGGGGATGAGATCTATATTCCAATGACGAGCGCTGGGGTAGAGACAGACTCTGGGACCCGGGTACCCGAGCCTCAATTTCAGGTAGGGGTGAGGCCTGGAGGCAGGCTAGGCTCCACTGTCTGGAGTGGAGCCTGGGCTCCTGGACGGCCTCGAACCGGACTAAGAGCCAATAGGGACTGAGGGCCAGCTCCCGTGCGCTGACAGGGAGTCTTAGTGCACAGTTCAGAGGCCCTTGCGCTGCCGCTTAAGGAAGGAAAGAGTGTAGTCGCTGGGTGTAGACACCTTCTGCTTTTTCATCTGCACTTGGGATTGCGCAGTGAGCTGCAGCTTGATGGCGCTCGAGTTGATCTTGGTGGCCACCAGCAGCTCCTTCATGCCCTTCATCTTCTCGCTCTGGAAAGTGAGCACTGGACCCTCCGGTGGCGGCGACGCGGCAGGCGCAGGCGCTGGAGCTGTGCTGCCGCCTTCCGGGCCACGGGCAGTGCTCAGGACTGTGGCTGGGGGCTTCCGGGGGGGTCCTGGCACCATGCCCTGCCCGGCGCCTGGGCCCTTGTCCAGCGCCGGCTTTTTGGGCGGCGGTGGCTCTTCGGGCTTGGACTCCCTCCGGGGGCCTCTCCGCCGGCCTTCCCGGGCTTCCTCACCCCAGGGCTCCTCCGCCTCAGCCGCCTCCGACTCTCGGCTCACGATTCGCACCTTCTGCCGCACCTGGGCGGGACAGGGAGCGCAAGCTGAGGGAAAGGCTGCAACCCAGTGGCTGGATCCCCGGGACCCAGCCTTGCCATCATTTTGAGGCCTGTCTCATATGCACCCAGAGGGGATGAGCAGATCCCCTTCAGGGCCACAAAGGCTCTGGCTCCTCTATAGCTGCTGCCACCACCTGTCTTCCTCAGACCTGTGCAGCTGCCCCTCACCTGTCCTTCGAAACGACCTAGGGACTGCACAAGGAAGGTGGCCCAGCCCACGTGAAGCACAGGCGTGGGACTGCCTTCTTCCCACTTGCAGATGCCATCGTAGAACCGAAGCAGATGAGCGAAGCACTCTGGGTCGTGGAGAGCAGACCCCTGGCTCTGGGTGCCCTGGGCAAGGGGGAAAGGAGGGCACAGATCAGAACCCCTTACTCACCCCTTATCACAGGGCACAGGCCAGGCCCCTTGTCCAAGCAAAGAGCGCTGGCTCCAGAAGAGGTGAGCATAGGGGGAGAGAATTCTTAGAACCTCCTTCCTTTTATAAAACCAATCCTTAGCCAGGACTTGGAAAAAAGGGGGAACCATTCCTTATCTCCATCCCACCCCCCTCAATTGAATAGGGAGCCCTGGCCATGAAAGAGATGGGCTTTACCCCCTTTACCCAAAGGAATAGGGGAGAAACCCCTCAAAGACCCTCAGCTCCCTGAAACCCTGGCCCAGGACCTTGGCTACTGATGAAAAGAACAAAGCTCTGTGGTGGGCCACCTTCCTCATGCAGTCCCCATATCCTGTGACTGGGAGCCCTGATCAGGTGGGAAGGTGGACACAGGTAGAGCCCTTCACCTGGGTCTGCTCCCCTGGCCGCTCCTCGCCAGCCTCCAGCAGGCTAGCTGCCTCCTTCAGCAGGTTGGGGATGACATCATTGGCTACTTCAAAGAACTCCTTGTAGATCTCTTCATCTTCTCGGCAGTAGTTGTAGCTGTGAGAGCAATAGGGAACTGTGGGGCCTCAGCCATGGTGGGTACCCCCAGGGGCCTGGTGGGGGATGGAGCCCAGGTTTCTTTTCCTGGATCATCTAGGGCCCAGGTGAGTAGTTAAAGTCCTCACTGCAAAATAATGATGTCTGTACCAGCCCTGAGCAAGAGTGAGGAGGGAAGCATGGGGCAGGGGGGGCAAGGTATACTGCTGGATGATGGTGGTTGGCAATTAGGAGGAAGAGGGGGAGGAGGGAAAGGTGTGAGGCCCTCATGAGGGATCCCTACCTCCTGGGTAGATAGTAGCCTTGGCTGCCTACAGAATAGAGGGAGGAGTGGGGCTTGGGACCCAGAACTCACTATTGGATAAGGGTGATTGGATATTGGGTGGAAGAGGAACAAAGGATGGGCTAAGACCCTAGTGGGGGGATCCTCACTCCTGGATGACAGTGGCCGTGTCCGCCCAGGCCTGCAGGGCTTCACGCACATTGCGGTTGCGACAATGGTAGCCAGCCAGGTACATGTAGGGGTAGATGTGCTCATCCCGGTAGTAAGTCTTGGCTGAGGCAATGCCCTAGGGATAGAGCAGAGGGCCCTCAGGGAGGCAGCCCCCAGCTGTACCATTTGGCAGGAAAGTCCCATCAGATCACACCCAGAAGGTGAAACAGGCAAGATCCCAGAGAGTCCCATCTTCAGTTCCACCTCTACCCCCTGCCATCCCCTCTACCAGTTGCTCCTTCAGGTCTGCAGAACTGCCTGCTGAGGCCTGGGCCAGAATGCAGCGAGTGGAGACCCCCACAGAACAAGGACTAGGGAAGGGGAGCGGTCCAACTGGCAAGCTCAGGGCATGTCCCTTTCCCAGGCTTTCCAACACACTCCTACACAAACGCCAAAGCCTTCCGAGCCCAGCCCAATGTCCCTTCTACCCCTAGCCCCACCAAGTTAACACCCCCTCCTCAGTGCTCCCAATTGTAACATCTATTACACTCCAAGAAGGACAATGAGAGGCAGCAGAAAAGGACAAGTCCAGGCTCTGACACTCCCAGAATGCCCCTCAGCACTGAATATGTACATGGTAAATACAAAATGAGTGATAACTCCGAATGCATACAAAGTTCTTCTCTCACCTGCCCCCTCCCAGTTCCTAGGTAGAAGGGAACCCCAGCCACTGTTGGGTTTCCCTTCTGTACCCTCCTGAGATGTCCCCACCTTGTGGTAGAGGGTGAGTGGGTCTGGCCGGCCAGGGGTGGGCTCCAGCTCCTCCAGATCTGCCAGGTTCCCCAGAGCCATGGGGTACCTGGAAAAAGGTCATGAGTCCAGGTTGCCACCCAGCCCTCAAAGGCCCAGCCTGGCCACTTCCCCCTACTGACCTTTCCAGATGTCCCAAGTCATAGAGCAGCCAGAGCAGCTTCTAGAGGCCAAAAGAGAAGTATGAGCTGGGGGGATGGGGGAGAAGTCCTTAGTCTACCAGGCAGAGGTGAGGTCCAACACCAAAAGGGATCTCCCACCAAGTAGGAAGGGCCAGAATTTAGAAACTAGCCCCTTATTGGAGTCAAAGCCCTTTCATGTCTTTAATACCACTCTCCCAAAAGCCCTGAGAAAGGCCAGGCCAGGAATTCTTAACCATGTTGCAAAAGGGGAAGTTGAAACTCAGGGAGGGAAAGTGCCCCTGCCCAGGGTCCCAAGGGCACACCTCACCTGCTGCAGCTGCAGCAGCTCCAGGGAGTCGGTGTGCAGGTCAATGGAAGGGTTGATGGCGCACACCATAAATGCCACCTCCATCTTGCGGTCACAGCGCATGTATGATCCTTTTAGGTACAGCCAGCTCTTGGGAGAGGACAAGACCAGATGTCTCATCACGGCCCACCTGTGCCTACTTCAGGGAATGACAGCCAGGAAAGGGGCCCTCCTGTGTCCCCTTCCTGACATATATAAGTGGTGATGGGAAGAGGGGAGTGTGGCTCAGGAAAGCAAAGCCAGCCCCTTGGGTGGCTTGGGCTAGGAGTGTGAAGGGAGCAGGGGGAGGAGGCAATACCCGCTCAGCCACACCAGCGTTGACTGTCTGGCCCCTTCGGTCCTCATTGCCTTTGCCATGCCAGGTGACCTCAGCTGTCTGCTCTCCATTGGGCCCAAACACAACCCAGGCATGGTCCTCAGACAAGGCCAGGTGGACATCCCGGAGACCCAGAGCCTGGCAGGCCCCCACCACAGCAAAGGCCACACCAGAGCTGTCCAGTTTGGTGCCTATGGAAGGGGGAGGTAATGAAAGAAGATCCTCTCAGCTCTGGCCTAGAGGAAGGGGGCTAGGTAGTGATTGGCCATGTTCCCTCCCACTGGCACCTCCCAGCTGTGCCCAAACCCCAGACCCTTCTCCATCACTCCTCTATCCCCTTCCTCCTATGTGTACAAAACCTCTCCCTCCCCATTTACATCTCCTATTAACAATGGACTTTCTTGGATCTTCCTAGTTCCGGAAAGTTTGTTATCAGTTATAACAAAATGGGCAAAAATAGGACCAGGAGACTCCTCTTTCTTTCACACACCCACTGGCAAATACTCCTAATTTATCTCTGCACTTTTTTTCCTGTTAAGCTCAGAAGCAGCCTCAAATTCCTTCTCAAATGGTCCTCCAGGATGTGATTGCTAGTCAACTGGGCTTGGAGCAAAAAAAGATCTTTGCAAATCTGAGCCTTAAGCTATCACCAGGAAGTGAAGCCCCTGGTCTGTTCACTTTCAAAGCATTTTCATAGATATTTCATTTAATTGTCTCAAACGTAGCTGGACTTTGGCTCCTCACCCCCCAAATCTACTGCTGCCCTCTGTGCCTCATGCTGGGCTGTGGGACTCCTAGAGTTGCTCACTGGCTGGGATAGGAGTGCTGAGGGGGCAGAGGATGGTTAATGGATTTGGAGCCAAGTGACTGGGGTCTAGTCCCAGCCTTGCCATTCTGTGTGACTTTGGCACATCACTTCCCCTCTCTGGGCTTCGGTATTCCTAA